ACCTACAAACCGACACACCAAGTTACTGCTTTATAAATAAGAAGGATCTCAAAAATGGATAACAGGAGAACCCCATAAGATCTGAGTCATATGGTTGAAAAGTAGTTGCATTACTGTACCGTTCAATGTCGGGCCCTTTGCTTAAACTCACTACCCTTTTGAAGATAATCAATTTCTACTTCCCGCCAAGCGATTTAGATTAAGGGTGGGCCAAAGTTATGATTACAGCGCGCGCTGACGCTCATAGCGAATTTTTTCTGTGGTCATGGCAGCTCGTTCGCTTTCTTTTATTTCACAAGGTAGATTACATTATTACCTTCCTGATGATGCTAAACTTTTGGTAGATTTTGAAAATAATGTAAGCGTAATCACCCCGTGACTAAATCGTCACTTTGCATTTACAAGCACTTTTGGCACGGCACATCTACAGACGACTCGGCGTAACAAGGCAGGGGGTACATTCGAGCCTATCGCTGCATCACTCCCATTTCTTTCAGCTTTATACAAATCTTGTAGCCCTGCTTTTTACTCAATTCTGCTCAATTCTGTCTGGAAATTCTGCTTTCGAAAGTTGAGAACAATTGCAGGTAGGAGCGGTAAACCTAAGAGGCTTGCGGTTACATTTAGTGAGAGTTTTAAGGAAGCAGGGCGAAGGTCCGCGTAGCAGCGAAGTTCATCCTGAGCCCAAAATGACTAAATGAATGGATATCTCTTTTCTGCGCGAAATCGTGAACCATCATTTGCACGACAAGGCCTTTATACGATCAGAAAGTGATCCGCAGTGAAGAAGGTGCGTAATAAGCAGGGCTACAAGATTTGTATAAAGCTGAAAGAAATGGGAGTGATGCAGCGCTAGGCTTGCTCACTTTCTGCTATATCCTTTGCGTGCGTCACCGCGGAGGCGAAACCACCGATTATTTTTGTAAAATAAGCAGTGTAAGTTGATTTGGAGACCTGTTCGATCTTTTCGTGCGCAATAGGACACTTTGGCAATTCAAACCGGACATATTGTCAAGATGATGCTCCTTACTGGAGATCAGAAATTGTCTGGAAATTCCGTAAAAGGGGTTCCCTCACTTCATAACCTTCGATCAGTGACCACTCTGGAGCCCTGACCTAAATCCCATAGATGTCTCAGTGTGGTCGGCCTTTGAGATTAGAGCATCCGTTAGCCCAAACATGAAGTGAAATAATCTCGAAAATACCTTGCAAAAAGCTGGGATCAACTCGGTGGCTTTAGCTGCGTGCCACCGCTAATGTTGTCCATCATCGTCTCTGGTGTTGGGTGAAAGCAGTAAGCAACAGATCCCAGTCTCAATGTACTATTTTGATAAGAAATTAGTGATAGACATTTTTATGGAATTGGTTTGCTTTTTTAGCTTTCTATTTGTTTTTGGGGATGTATATCTGTGTAATCATAGTTTTGGCCCACCCTGTACTTACCGAATCTTGGAATAATCGAGAGATTGTGTGACGATGTCCAGGCATCAGTGGTCAGAGTGGTAAGACTCTCAGCTCGTAAGTTACTGCAGCACCCGTCCTGAGCACCTTACGGGATAGCTGCTCCAGTAACACTCGCGATAAAACCAAGGGGAACAGCTTATCAATCGGATGTAAGTTAAAGAATGGAGGCGAAGATGCTCGAGCATCTAGAGTCCCCCTCTCACCTCAAAAGTGAACTTCAAGAGTATCCTCCCTTTTCTTAATCCTGCTTCCTTTTTCGCTCCTTTTCTGCCGTTGCGACGACGACCAGGAGCTGGCAAAAACTTATTTATACCTTCTTCCGAGAGAAATAGTTATTCTGAAGGACTGTGATACAAAGTGTTGTTTGCAGCTAAAATTTTCTGCGTCTTCCTCCGATGCCGTCAAAGAGCACAGCACATCCCTATCTTCGGCTACGATTTGTAAGCCTGAACCATGAAAATGAGCCTTCCGATTCACTTCAGTTGCTCGTTGGCATTGAGATTTCCCTAGTTCTTTTGGGCGTGACTTTACTAGCCAAGGGGACCGTAAACCAAGTCACTCAAAACAACTTCAGTAGATCTTCAGTGCTCTACTAAGCTTCTTATCATCGTAGTGAATTTTATTGTAGGGAAGCATGTTTTCTAGTTTTTCTACGGCCCATTTCTCACCAGTACTCCTGAGCCTCTTCGTGGTCGTTGAGTAGAGGGAAGAAATTGCAATGTCGGAGAACTAGACACCGCAGCGCCTCACTGATAATAACGTTCTGACAATGTGTACAATAAACATGCCACGACACATGTGTCCTAGATTGAACTTTATTACTTTATTGGTATCCACTGTGTCCGTGTGTATGCCTGTGTATATGCGCGCATATGTCTGTGTCTATGAGTGTATGTGTATGTGTGTGTCTGGCGTGTTCATGAATATGTATGTGTGCGTCGGCGTGGCTGAATGGGTGTGTGCGTGGTGTGTGGGTGTACATGTATGTGTGTATGTATGTGTGTATGTATGTGTGTCTGTGTGTATGTGCATCTGTGTGGACAGGTTTGTTTGTTGATATGTCTGTGTGCTGGTACGTGTATCAGTGTGTATGGTGTGCGTCGGTGTGTGTGTGTATATCGATGGGTGTGTGTGGTGCATGCCTTTCGGTGGGTGCGTTGGTGTGTAGGCAGGGTTGTATGTCGGAGTGTGGATGTCGGTGTGTGTGCGTATGCCGAAGTGTGTGTGTGTGTGTGTGTGTGTGTGTGTGTGTGTGTGTGTGTGTGTGTGTGTGCGTATGCCGAAG